TTTTGATGTTTGAACGGAGTTTCTGCGATGTTGAATGGAATTATGAAAGTTATGAATGATAAAAGTAATAGCAGTCGATTCCCGACCGAGCTGAACGTTTTGATGTTTGAACGGAGTTTCTGCGATGTTGAATGTGGGAGGAGAAGACGGACAAAATAATTGGACGGAATAATAATAAACTTTTCGTCCGTAGCATAACATATAGTTGGAATGCTGTATCAGCATTCCCACTAAATAATATATAGTCCATATGATATAGGTTAACAGAAGATAAACAGACTATTTTATAAATGTTTTCTAGTTGTGGCCACCGAATGTGAGTAACCTCATAACAAAAAACTACAAATAAAGTCCAAACTTTGCCTCTGCCACCAGTACATGTTTGCATGAATGGGAGAACGCTGACCTAAGTTGTAAAGTGATTTTAGTGGTTGTAAATACAAGAAAGCATTCTATATATATATATATATATATATATATATATATAGCAATTTACCATCTTTTCTTTTTTATCATGGTCCGAATGAAAAGCGATATGTTCCTTCTGTATCCGTTCATTCAATGAAAATATGCATAGGGAGAGAATGATTAAGTCTATTGACAATTTGAAGTATCTTGTAAAAGGACACATCACGTTTATAATTAAGAAATCAGATTTGTCCCACCAAGCTTTTTTGTATAAGTTGTCAGGGAGGGTATTATGATTGCTATGAGTAAAAATCTATGTACTGTTGTAAATCATCACTAATTTGGCAAGTTGACACTCAGTGTTAGAATTTGTGTTAGATTGTTTGTCTCAAAACTGAAGGTGTTGTTTCCAGCAAATGATTAAAGATGTGGAGAAACATTTGTATATAAACTAAATGTAGCAGGATAATACATTTATATTTAATAATGACCTACTGTAACAGCAAGCAAACAGACTGCTGCATGAACTTTTAGCTTTGGCCACCAGAGGTCAGTATCAGACCTGAGAACTGTCCAGGGGAACATCAGCAGAAGTAGTGTTAAAATATGGCATTTATGGAAGCCCATTTCCGCCACTGAGAGGAAAAACAAATCCTGTCCTTATTATGATTTAGCATCTCAGTATTGCAACTTAATTCTTAATATTGTTGTGGTGTTATCAGTTCTAAATACAGGAAATGTTGGCGTATACTGTAAATGTCTCATCTATAAAGTCCCAATTCATTTTCTGTGTAGCCTGTCCCAACATTATACTTCATGACATCACAGATTTAAGTGTAAGCAGTCTGGAGTTTGACTTTAAAGAGAACTGTTTAATTGTAATTATATTATTGGAAGGTCTTAGAACAATTACTTTTAAAAATAGCGGTAGTTTTCCTTTAAAGGGGCACTTACTGTACACAGGAAAATCGTGTACTTTTACTCGACTATATATTTTTTGTACATTTAGTTTTGGATTAATAATGTGAAATATAGTCAACACTTAAATCAGACTTTACATACACCTGGAGTAAATTCACAAGCTACCCTACAGTATACAAAGTCATTAAAACTAGCTGTAACTTTACCAGCTTTGAGAACACTTTAATGATCAATAATTAGAATCAAAACATATCATATATATTATTCTGAAATGTGGATAATAAGTTATTTTACTTTTGATACTTTAAGTATATTTTGATGCTTATACTTTTGTTCTTTAACTTGAATAACCTTTTGAATGCATGACTTTTACGAGTAACACAGTATTCCTACACTCTGGTATTTCTACTTTGACTTAAGTAGCCTACAATATCTGAGATTGATCTGATGAAGTCTGTCTGATAAATGTGTCAGCAGGGACTAAGAACTATGGGTTGGAAAATGAAAAAAAGTGTCACTGTTAGAAAGAAGTGAGTGTACCAGACCTCAGTAGCCTCATCTCTGCTCGGAGCTGCATTGTGGGTAATGTAGTCTGCATGTTTTGACAAAGATGAGAATACGTGAAAAAATGCGATACATATTGTTAAACGTTCTGGTGTTCAGTTTTGATGTGCTCAGTTGTGATGTGTTTAAACTGTCCATGATGAGTACTGGTATATGCTAGTAATACAATGTTCAATCTCCGGAGTGCTCTTTTAAAGGGGACCTATCATGCAAAATGCACTTTTGTACGTCTTTTATACATGAATATGTGTCCCCGGTGTTCCAGGGAACTCACCAAGTGTCAGAAAACACAACCCTCTCTATTTTCCTCCATACCCACATTTCTAAAAAAGGGGCTGCAACGGATCTGATAAAAACTGATCCAGATTTGAACACTGTCCTGACGTCAGGACGGTGGCGCTACGGCTATTGGGCCAACTCTCCACCTATCAGGGGAATGTGGGGTTGGGCCACGGCCGGCCATTGCCGCTCGAAAGCGCTGGAGACGCTGTAGTACATATGCCAGGCCTGTAAGTGGCGCTGTAGTCTGCCACAAAAGCAGCGAAGAAGACTTCCCGCCCATAGTTACCATGGTTACCCTTCTGTTTATTCTCCGCTGTGGCTTTTTTTCTCCCTCCCCGAGGCAAGCGTTTGCTCCCGCTTGCCTCGTTCCCCTCGTTCCTTGGAAGAGGCAGAGAGGTGGGTGTTTGTCATCTGCTGGTGGACTAACCGGAGAGAATTACAGTGCTTGCTCAATGCAATCCCTCCCCGTCAAACACCCACCTCTCCGCCTCTTCCAAGGAACGAGGGGACCGTGCGGCAGAGTTTCAGTTTCAGTTACTTTCGCCGGTCAAGATGTCCGTTAAAGTTTAAATCTTCCGGACAAAATTAGAAAAGTGCCGGTCAAAGGTCTTCTTTGTTATTTATTGAGCTTTAAAACAAATGAATAACGACTCTATATAATAAAACACGGAGGACGGAGATCTCTTTTTCTCCCCCTCTTCTGACAGCCCAGCAGCTGATCAGAGCACGGCTCACCTCTCCTGCAGGGGGGCGTGGTCAGCAGAATCAGACCCGTAGACAGCAAACAGCACATAGAGCGAAATGAGGCATGGCTAAAATGCATGATCTGTTTGGTATTTTGAAAACAGAAACGTATAAATATACCTTATATAGGTATGGCCCTACAATATATCATTTAAATATAGCATGATAGGTCCACTTTAAATTGTATTTCATTGTCACTGTCCGTCAGCTGTCTCCAGAGCCTAGAAAATGTTCTACCAAAGTAAATTGAAGCTCAGTGCAGTCCCCAATTACATCACCATGTGGTGCTGTTGCATTTTGATTGTACAAAACTGGATCCTTTATATTTGATGTGGAGAAGAGCATTAGCAAAAGTCATGTAAACATAACATGATCAACAATTTGAGGACTGGTGGTTTGGCATGTGTTTCAAAAATGTAAAAACCTCTTTACATCCTGTTGGTAATGTCAGGTACCTTTTTTAATGTTAAACATCTCAAATCTGCTTTATCTTACACATTGCACGTATAAAAAATAAACAATACAGGAAACATGCAGAACAGTTATACAGCTAACAGGATTACTGAGCAGCACCCTTTAGTCTAGTAGTATAGGTTTTTACGCTGCTATGGACAATCTGCAATAAATGCACATTCTATGGACAATCTTGCACCAAAGATATTGATATTGAAGTGATTGTTGTGTTTTTTTATCTTAATGTGTGCTGTTGATTGTGTATATAGGATATACATATTTGTATACATATCTGTATATTGTATAATTTTATATTCGGGATTGTTGGAAACGTCATTTCAATCTCTCTGTAAACACAAACTGAGTATTGACATTAAAGTTGACTTTGATATGTGCCTTTCTGTTCTGTTGGATAAGCTGGGGATTGAACCCAGGACCTTATACATGCAAAGCACACGCTCTACAACTGAGCTACATCCCCTTCATACTGTTTTAACAATTTATACAAATCTTCTTTATTTACCGATTATATTTGCTTCATTTGTGTTGAAAAATTACTTTGATAGCTCTTTTTGACATGACACAAATGAGCAGAATCCGTAAATGTCCAATGGTTTACTATCAAATAAATATGAATCTATGTTGGAGATGCTGGGGATTGAACCCAGGACCTTATACATGCGAAGCACACGCTCTACCACTGAGCTACATCCCCCTTCCTTATCAAATTTTCTAGCCATACATTTTCCATTGCACACATGCTTATAACTACTCAACAGAGTATGTCTATTGCAATGCTTTGACACTTGTAATGCCCCTACAAAAATGCCCACGACCACAGACCTGTCAAATTAATATTTTGTAATTGTATTTCATTATCACTCTCCATCAGCTGTCTCCAGAGCCCAGCTCATTTTCTACATTTCTACCTAAGTAAATTGAAGCTCAGTGCAGTACGCAATTACATCACCATGTGGTGCTGTAGCATTGTGTTTGTAGAAACCTGGATCATTCACATCTGAAAGCAATGAATGTTAATTCATGTACAAATCACAGGATCTATAGAGACAATGGTAATGCAAATGTTTGTATTGTGTATGTTTTGTTTTAATAAAGGGCTGTTCACTCATTAAATCCTTTACGTCTCATCAACATTATGAAAAATTAAAAAACTCCATCAAGAAATAACCATTGATGTGCTTTATTTGTCAGTCTGGGGAGGATGCTGCAGTATCACACAATTACACACTATGATCAAAGATTTAACAAGGGATTTAAAATAAAAATGTATGGCAGAATAAAAGTAGAAAACAACTCCTATTTTGCTGCGGACTAATTGATTTGTTTATAACCTGTTGGTTATGGGGTTAGAATGTGACAGTGATCACATATGAAATGAATTAACTTTGAATGATTCCTTAATCTGCTGTGGCTGAGGTGGGTGAGCAGTCGTCCAACAATTTGAAGGCCAGTGGGTTGGTATGTCTTGAACATAATTTCAACAGTTGAACCTCTTTACATCCTGTTGATGATGTCAGTTCTTGATAAACAATAAAGGAAACATGCAGTGCAGTTAGCCAACAGTGAGCAGCCTTGAGTCTAATTCTGTAGGCTTTCTTCAGTTTTATTGGAGATGCTGGGAATTGAACCCAGGACCTTAAACAAGCTAAGCACACACTCTACCACTGAGCTACATCCCCATACCTTACTAACAATGTATAGCCATATATTTGTACATCATACACCTCAGTAGCCTATGTCTATTGCAATGCTTTGTCACATATAATGCCCCTGCAAAAAGCCTAAGACCACAGACCTGTTAAATTGTATTTCATGATCACTCTTCATCAGCTGTCTCAAGAGCCCAGCTCATTCTCAACATTTCTACCAAAGTAAATTGAGGCTCAGTGCAGTACTCAATTACATCACCAGGCTGTGCTGTTGCATTTTGAATATACAAGAATTGACCATTCATATTTGATATGTGATCTGCGGGGCATTAGCATGAGCAATGAATGTTATTCCATTAGTCACTTCATTTATAATGAATTTGTGGTTAGATAAATGATTTTACACTACTGGGGTACATGCTAAAGGTTGACATTTAGCAGCATATGAACATTTCCCTTTTTCATGTTAAAGCAACAGCCCTCAATCTTTCCGTGGCAAATAAAGATCCTTCTGAAAAAGAGCAGGCAATGTTGAGCATAACAATATTATCAATAACATTTAGGATTGTAGAACTTGCCTTGTTCACTTAATGGCAGGATCACAATGTTGCCTGTGTGTCATTGCTAATTAATATAAAGTCATGTGTCCTGCCTATGAATGAAGTATTGTCACTGGCCTGCCACAAAGTTAAGGTGGTAGGTGAAAGTAAAAACGATAGAACTTGGTCTGGATCATTTATTGTTTAACAATAAATATCATGTATAAGTTGACAAAACAATCTGAAGTCAAGGTCTACATACTCTGAGATTTCAACTGTTTTGTCAACGGCTTTTTCCAAGGTCAATCATTTACAGTGAAGCCCCACATGCATAACGGTTCACCTCAGAACACAAACCACAGGGATCGATGAATTACAAACTGTATCGATTTTATTCAAACTGTACACGTACAACAGGCTTATCTCATTAAAAAAAAGTAAAAAAGACAAAAATGAGTATCCCGATAAATACAATATGCGTTTACAAAACAGAGACTGTGTTTACTTGGAAGGTTGCATATGATCCATTAAAAAACCCACACACACACACTCATATTCCTTCTGAAAACTTAGTACATGACATACACTGCGTTGACAGATTGCGCTGTCTGAAGGCAACTACAGATTATTTCTGCCTTGTTATGTTCAAGCATAGACAAGATAATAACTTGTGTAAAGTTGTGACCTGTTTACAACAAAATACATACTAATTTGAGCCATGGTTTGAAGTATGTAGTACATTCACATACAGTTGAATATGAATGTTTGTATTTAGTGCATGTTATAGTATTTGTGTTGATTCCGCATACAGCTTTAGGGATCAAAAATAACTAGAATGCCAGGTATACACTTAATCGTTTTCCAAGTTTACCCTCATTGCTGCATGGTGTTGCCATTCAACATTTACATGTGAAGTATGTAAAGAAGCTCTGCTGTATGACAGGAAACAAGCCTTCTAACAAACATGCTGCATTGCAGCTAACTCAGTCCGACATGACTTTCTGCTCAGGTTTTCCCACAAAATCTCATGCTGAGTTTATGATTATATCAAAGAAATTAAAAGTGGATTGCTTCAGAAAATAAAGAATTGTGCAGAAAAAATGTTTAGGCTGTTATTTTTGTGAAAGGGCCATTTAGTATAAGAATATTATCATAACAGGTCACTAGGCAATGTTGGTGTCCAATGTTATTGTAATAAATTGCTGTATTGTCCCCAGAGATTCTTTCCCAGATAAAACGCTCCACCTTAGCTGAAAACTACGCAATATATCCTCGCTTCTCTTTCTCTAAATAACACATATTCCCACAAGATAATGGCCTTTGACCTCCTTCCTGGTGTTTATGTCCATGATTAAAAACATCCAAAAAAAATTCAAATGTGTTTTGATGCCTAAACACTATAATAATGATTTATTAAAAACTAAAAACGTTTCAGTTTGCTTGTGAAAACAAGACTTCAAGTGAAATTATAAGAGATTACTAGGTAGAATACAGGCGTGAGTGTGTACAGTCATCTTTATCCAGGATAAAATAACATCATAAATCCTGAGCAACCATTTCCACTTGGATTAAATCTGGATCCTTGAAATGGTGCTTTGGATGTCTTAAAAGCTTAAAATGTCTTTTAGATGGGGGGGATCCAACAGTTGAGAGACCACACACAGAGACAAACAATGAGCTGTTGTGTTTCTTCATTGCAGAGTGGAGGCTGGTGTGTGTGTGTGTGTGTGTGTGTGTGTGTGTGTGTGTGTGTGTGTGTGGTCTAACTGTTTGATTCAGGTCATCCTGTGTTGAATCAATCATTTAAAAAACGTTTAACCTTAAGGATAGCTGTGCAAACCAATACATAACTTCATCCACCGTTGGAGTGAACATTCAATATAGTAGCAAATACTCAACAGTATGGAAACATTTTTAAAATATCGACAAAAATGAAATAAAAGTCTTTGATTTCTGGGCAGCCACATAATGCCGTGGTGGAGTCACAAGTTGATGGACATATTCTCATATTTGAACAGGCTAGATTGTACTCTGCAATATCTAACACAAGTATCAAAGCGTTTCAGTCTTTAGCTAAAAGCAGAGTAATTTAAAACGTACATGTATAATTAATCCAGGCATACCTAATCAATGAATTCACAGTCAGAGGGCGTGGTTGCTGTAGGGATCAAACCTTTGACCTTTCCACTGCAGCATGGACAGGAGGCCACACTGCTCGAGCCATCAGTCTTTGCTGTTATGGTGTTTTCCACTGAGACTTTCACCATGGCAGACAGGACATACATTCAAATTGTAATATTAAGGATATAATCAATAATATGTATGGAGTTTCATATGAAAAGTAACCTCATCAGTCTGGCATTACAGTCCCAGGACCAGTATGGCCATTCACACCAGTTCATAATCCAGAGATACTGTGGGCTGTCAGGTAATGAGAAAAAAAAGAAAAAAGTTCATCCAACTTCTATCGAATATAGATTAAAGTTTGATTGTGTGTCCAAAAGCCTGAATTGCTGTCACAACCCGAAAACACATTTTTAAAATAGTCCAAAAAAAGTATTAAAAATGAAAGCTATTTGACCTCATTTACATGGTTGTTATTTCCAAAACCCCGGGGCTTTGTGCCTTCTCTTACTCGGAACTTCACACCGTTGTCTCGCCATGGTTACCGTTGCTAAGGCGCTTGTAGAACCTCCTCCATGATTGGAGAGTCTTCCCAGACCAGACCCAGAAACCCGAAGTGATCCCGACTATCATGGTCATCAGGTACTTGATCATGAACACGGTAAAATCTGGGGTCATGGGGGCGAAGTTGTGAACCGGGCACTGCACGGCGAACCGCTTACAGGTCTGCATGTGCCAGGTCCGCTGCCAGTGCTCCCTGAAGGCCTGCTCGTAGAAGTAACAGGCGATCACTATGGTGGCCGGTACCGTGTAGAGCACGCTGAACACACCGATACGAACCATCAGCTTCTCCAGCTTCTCCGTCTTGGTGCCGTCGTGCTTCATGATGGTGCGGATCCGAAAGAGGGACACGAAGCCGGCCAGGAGGAAGGACGTGCCGATGAAAAGGTAGACAAACAGCGGAGCCAGGACGAAGCCGCGGAGGGCGTCCACGTTGAAGATCCCGACGAAACACACCCCTGTCAGAACGTCGCCATCCACCTGGCCCATGGCGAGGATGGTGATGGTTTTAATGGCAGGGACAGCCCAGGCAGCCAGGTGGAAATATTGCGAGTTGGCTTCAATTGCCTCATGGCCCCATTTCATCCCAGCAGAGAGGAACCAAGTCAGGGACAAAATCACCCACCAGATGGAGCTGGCCATACCAAAAAAGTACAAGACCATGAAGAGGATGGTGCAGCCCTCCTTTTTGGTCCCCTGAGCCACTGTCCTGTAGCCGTCATCTTTGAATTTATCCACACAAACAACTTTATCCTCCAGGAAGAACCCAGCAGCGTAGGCTACCGCCACCATGAAATAACAGCCAGATAAGAATATGATGGGCCTCTCCGGGTATCTGAACCGCCTCATGTCCACTAAATATGTGAGCACAGTGAATAAGGTGCTCACACAGCACAGGATAGACCAGATTCCCACCCACAGCCGGCCGAACTTCACTTCATCCTCACGGAAATACATGATGCCGGTCGGTTTAGTGGGCTCACACGGCGCCCCGCAGTCGTTGACCCCCATAAATTTGTAGCCCAAGTAGGTTGGCACCTCCAGCTGCAGAGGGCAGGAGAACTGGTACTGGTTGTGCTGGGGCGGTCGTAAATTGGGGCGCCCCATGTTGGGGGGAAGGGACACCGGCTCGCGATCAAAGGGGGGAGACGCCGGGCTGCTGGGCTCGGATGTGTTCTGGCCCACGCAGATCTCACCGGCTCCGTGGACCGGGAAAGCCTCGCAGCGGAGCCGCTCCGGCCACTGGAAACCGAATTTATTCATGAGGGCTTCACATCCCTGCCGCGCACGCTCACACAGGGACCGACACGGGGGGATGGCCTGCTCCAGCACCGTGCAGACTGGTGCATACATGGAGCAGAGGAAGAACTTCAGGTCTGCGGAACACTGGACCTTCACCAGGGGGTAGAACTGGTGTACTTCTAGGCCGGCGTCCTCCTGGTTCGTGTGGCCCAGCAGGTTCGGCATGATGGTCTGGTTGTAGGCGATGTCGGTACAAAGCGGGATGGAGATGGGCTGGCAGAACCCGTGTTCTGGGATAGATATCCCGCTCTCACTGTTGTAATGTTGGGCAGAAGTGGATGTGAAGCACAGCCCGCAAAGCAGCCACATGATCCGCAGCAACACGGAGCCAGTGGTGGACCTGGCCGCCGCCATAGTTGAGGAGGAGGAGGGGGGGGAGGGAAGGAAAAAACTTTGATCCAAGTAGGGCGACTTGAAAACGGTTGAAAAGCGTGGAAAAACTACATAAATTGTCGCAGCACTTATCTTTTAGTCCGAGTACTTCGAGTTGAAATGTCCGTAATC